ATAATCGAAAAAAAAATATAATAACTGATGGCTCGTGGTAAATTCGAAGGATCATTGAGCCGATCGCTATTGATCATTTCTCGTTCTTTGAGAAATGATCAGGGATATTTTCTGTTTTTGTTTTACTTAACATTCTTTGTACTACTTTTCTTCGTCTTAGACTTTGTTCGCAGTCTATTATATAATTTATATCTATTGTTAGTTAGCAGCAACATTGATGGATGATTAGGAAAAAGTTCTAAATATTATGAGAATCAAGACTATAAAAAAGAAGAAAATTTGTGATCAAAAAATCAATAATACGAAAATGAGAAGAAACCATAAAATTTGTCGACGGAACAGTTGAAAACAATGTAAAAATAATATGAAATCAGAACGGAATATATATTTAGATTTGATCTATGTATTTATTACTCTATCTCAGGGTATTGAGGAGAATCATGTGGTATCATCAGAAGAATGAATGATAAAAAACAATAGAAACTACACGTACTAATACTAGAATGTGAAGAAATAATAAAAGAAAAAACAAACACGTTCGAAAATATCCATTCTTTCTTTTTTTCTTCTCACATATTTTAGTATTAGTATGTGCATGTTCGTATTCTTGATCATTCGTTTTTTCTGATGATGTCACGTAACGTTTGTTGAAAGTTTGAGATAGGGTAATGAGTGCATAAATACAATGTAAAAGTATTTTATTTTAGTTTAACACTAATTAGCAGAGAACAGTTGAAAAATACATGAATGTCCAGGTGATATAACAAAAACCGTTTATGAATTTCCTACGAATTTGCGACTAAATAGCCACAGAGAAACAAAACAGAAGAAGAGAATACAAAGTTGAATTATTCTATACAATTTCGATATAATTAGGTTACATCCTGATGAACTGTCTTTTCCTCTTGCTGTGGTATAAATATAGATATCAATAGACATAAAAGCACCGCTACTCGACTATTTCAGTTAATTTCTAGCTTGATTCAAAATGACTCCCACTTTATACACGTTTTCAAATGACTAAAAGCAACACTCAATGCTTTTTTAGCAACATACGTGCCCAACGTAATTTTTAGTATGTTCTATATATACGCTCAGTTCTTATTTGAATATAGGTTCAATGCCATGGTTAATATACCTCCTGGCCAAAATAAATGACCCATCTGTTTTTACAATTATCATTTTCTGCGTGGTTGAATTGGTCTCATCTTTATATCATCGATGCATCTTTGATTGCTTGACTTACCCTAAAAGTTTTAGCTGTATATAATAAATCTTCGCTAAGAAAATAATATATATATATCATGTACTCATGTAGCAGTGAATCCATAATTAGTTGTTTTACTGATTTTTTTATTATTTCAAATTTTATTTGGAGTTCAAGGTAATAGTTAGTTAGCTTTGATATATGACTATACCAAGAGACATCGTTAATCAGCTTCACATATCTTGTAGTCAGTTATACGCTGCAATTCTATTAAACGACTGCATCGATATGAATAATATTTCTTCTTTACAATTCATGATAAAAATTAAAAAAGAACCTGGTCTATCAAATAAAACTGTTCACGAAAAAATTCTTTGTCATCAATAAAAGAGCGACTGAAGTGCAATATAAAGAACAAGAATTTAGGTCCACATATTTTTCCATTGAACGATAGTCTTTATTGATTATTTACCAACAAATGCAGATTCCGACGAAATCCGAAGGACGGATCCGATAGGATTCAGTTGTCGGAATCCAGTCGGTTCCGTCCAGTTCCGAGTAGTTGATCGTCGGATATTTTGTTTGAAGAAGCTGTCGAATGTCTTAAAATTCTATAGAGATCATATGTCTTTGTGGCTATTTTCTCGTGTTGCAAACCAGAAATTGCCTGATCTGATTGAGTCTTTTGAAGAGTTTGTTCCGTACAAAATTAAATTGAATTAACTTCTTTTGCCATGAAAACTAACTATTAAAAGGAACAAACTAGTGGCGTAATTAAGAGAGTGAGGCTTTCCCCACTCCACCACGTACCGGTCGAAGTCACATCAGCTAAAGTCTGTCAACACATCTAAAGCCTGAACTGCACGGTAAAAACAGTATAATTATGTCTATTTAAACCTCATTTTAGAAATTTTGTTTTTGCATTGTAGGACCAATCAAGCGCCAACGGCCTTTAGTTCATGATGATGATTCTGAAAATGAAGAGAGTAACATCTAGGACTATTTTTGTGCGTCGTTATATTTTGTCTTCTTTTAGTTCGGTCTGGTGGTGCAGTCGAAACGACGAATACTAATAGTCAATTACTAGTTAATCGTAAGTTGATTATCGTTTTGAAACTATTCAATGTATGTTCTCTGTGCAGCACAAGCAATCTATAGTCAAATAGACGGACTTTTCAATGTAATGACACGAACAATAGAACGTCAATTTACACATTTTGATAAAAAGATTGAGCGGCTGACACAAAATAACTTCGTAAGGGGTGATTTTTCTTTCCAGCAAATTTCGTTCTCGCTTTGTAGTACGATCATTCACTCGACTTATTTCGAGAAAAAGATGAAACATTTGAATCTACTGTAGTAAGATTATTTATTATATATGTACTTAATTATTTTTAATTTTATTTAAATTTAGATGTATCAAAATGAGGATTTATTTCGTATTCGTGCTAAGGATTACGGTGATTATGGTCGTCTCTTACTACGTAAACTGTATAGCAAACAAGAATTGGCCGAATGTATTTTACCTCCTGGTCATCAACGATATAGAAGACCACCTCTTGATAACGATCGATTTGAATATCTTCATAGTAACTTCTTTTTATAAAATTCTGCGTTGCTACAATTCTTTTTCTTTTAGAAGCAATGGCTACTAAATTTCGAATATCTAACCTACACTATAGTCAATTTTACTCAAAGTTACTTCGTCCTAAATTATCTGATTTTCTTAACGACGAACGAAAACGACCAAATAAAGAAGCGTCAATGATAATGATCACAGATTCAAATGACAATAACACTTCATGAAACAGTATTCTTCCATTTTCTTTTCTTTTTATTCATGACGATTAGTTTTCTTTTTTTATTATGTGAAACGAAATAGGAGTGTCACGTCTTCTTCTGTTAACGTTGACTAGAGGTGTTGGCTTAGCATTAGCAATGCGTTAGTTACTGGTAATTTTATGGGTTTCGTATTAGGATTAAAACATAATTTTATGCTTTCATGTTAGGATCAGAAAATTAATTTAATGCAGTCTCATTAGTCTGGAATTATTATTAACATAATACAACCACTTATGGTTCCCAAAAATGGAACAATTCTTTCATTTTTGGGAACCATAAGTGGTTGTATTATGTTAATAATAATTCCAGACTAATGAGACTGCATTAAATTAATTTTCTGATCCTAACATGAAAGCATAAAATTATGTTTTAATCCTAGTAAGTTACAAAAGCCACAACATTAGTAATAATTAATGTAAAGCTAATGCTAAGCTGATACTCCTAACATTGACTTATATTTTGAAAAACGACATAACATTCCTATGTTTCTTTTATCTTTTTTCACTGAAACTGGTTTATCTAGTAGCGTTTTTTTCTGCGTCATTTGTCATTTTTGTATGTTTTCATTCTATCTAATCTTACTCACTTTGCCCTCATTGGTTTTTATTTTCAATACATATACATATATGCAAAGTCTCTTTTCTACATGTTGCCCATGTCATCTAAATTCTGTCACTCTTGACGGTCAATCGGCGATTACACAACACATTTCAACACCAAGTATTCCTTTAAAAAATATGAATATCTTTTTTTTTCATTTAGATCATATGATCATCTAAATAAACCCTAACCATCATCTATTAAAAATAAATATATTTCTTTGTTCTATTAAGATTATTACAACATCCCGATCACCAGTAAAAATTATTTCATAAAAATAAACATTTTTTTTTTATTTAAGCCTTCAGAACATTCAAATCGAACGACAACTATTCTTTCAAAGAAATAAATATCTTTTTTTCTTTTTTTAGGTCTTTCGAATATTCATATCAATGGTAAGTGTCTTTTCAAAGAAATAAATATTTTCTTTTTTTTAGATCTTTGGAATATGCATATCAATTGTAAGTATTTTTTTCAAGATACAAATATTTTTTCCCCTTTTTTAAGGTCTTTGGAATATTCAAATCGATGGTAAGTGGTTTTTAAAGAAATAAATATTTGTTTTTCTTTTATTTAGGTCTTCCAAGTATTCAAATGAATTGTAAGTATTTTTTTTCAAGATACAAATATTTTTTCCCTTTTTTTAGGCCTTTGGAATATTCAAATCGATCGTAAGTGGTTTTCTAAAGAAACAAATATTTTTTTTCTTTTATTTAGGTCTTCAATGTATTCAAATGAATTGTAAGTATTTTTTTCTAGATACAAGTATTTTTGTTTCCTTTTTTTAGGCCTTTGGAATATTCAAATCTTGAAATTTATGCAGTACGAGAAATATATGAAGATTGATCCTTGAGAAAGGTCGAAACTATAGGTGTAGTTTTTTCTTAAAAATAATACAGACCATTCTACTTTTTCATAGAACAATGTAATTTGTTTCGACTTGATTCTGTTCGAGTTTTATTCGCATATTGTAGTCGAACTAGAGATACTATATCACATAATGAGACAGTCTGAGCAATAGTCCAAACACATCATGATAACTTTTACACACTCATATTCACACCATATGGACTACTATCCATTCACTAATTTATTTCTCAGAAGCATTTTCAATATATATATCTTCAACTGACATAGAAAGAAATGTGATATTCACATCACATGGAATTCTACTATAGTCATTTGCCGCATAAACCAGACGATGAGACTTAAAGTCAAGTCAAAACTCGTTCTGGTACGCTATATCACTAGTGCCAGTGAATTATTTTTATATTTTTACATGTGGTGCTATGAAAGAAGGATTCTAACACTTTAGACAACTACATCCGCTTACTAGAGTTTCAAATGAGGTTGACAACAGTCGTAACTCTCGCTTCACTTATTTTACAAGATCACTTTTATACAAGCCGACAGTATGTCTCGTCATAGTCCAAGGTTCAAAAATCCATGAAACTTACACTTGTAGCATCACTTGTATTTTCACGTTTTGACTTTTAATTTTCAAACTAAAAGAATCTAAAGAAATCACGAACAATACAATCTCACAATCTCAGATCATTACAACAGGTGTGAATGTCGCGAAAGATGTTTTCTAAATGGAGAAGAACATTCGATTTCACAGACATACCCTCAAAGGTGCTCTGTTTACAGTTAAAACCTAAAATCCCACAACACAAAGCTGAAACTTAAAACACCATCGACAGCACTTCAAAGACTCGGTTTATTAAATGACTTTAATAATAATTCGAAAAAGTCTATTTCATACAGCACAAAATATACTTTTGGTGTATAGAAATCTACCTCAAACTATGGAATCGATCTCTCACAAGGAGAAGAATCTAGTCGTGTGATGCTTTCAATCTAAAATATCTTAACAATAATTATTGTTATTTCGATTTAAGTATGAACTTATTCGTAACTTCTTCAAATTATTGGCGAGTTTTGAACTTAAATATAATAAAAAAATTCTAAAGATACCTGATGATAAACCTCTAAAGCAAAGTCGAAACGCGTCGCGTGATGCTTTCAATCTCGAAAATCTTTTATAATAAAAAAATAATAATTTTAATCTGATTTTCGTAGTACGGTTTAAGCTATTACTACTTCAGTATTTGAAGAGTTCTAGTTATATGTACTATAGATTGTGAACATGCCTGTTGAATCCCTTAAGCAAGGACGAAATACGTGTCGTATGATGTTTGCAATCTCAAAAAAATCTAATTATACTCCAGTCATTTGGAGAGTTTCAACTTCTGTAATAATAGAACTCTAAAGATATCCATCGAGTCCATTGAGAAAGGACGAAGCACGTGTCATATAGATCTCTAAGTTCTCCAATTCATAGTATTATATGTGAATTAAAGCAACTCCTATCATACCTGTTGCCCGCTCACTTTATACCTCACAGCATATCCCAATCCTGTGGATGTCGCGACAAGAGTTGTTCATCATCAAAAATTTCTCTTTTAATGAAAAAAAAAAACTTGAGAAATCTATCGTACCATAAGAAATCAAACGAAAGCGCAATTCCTCTGTTGTTCGACTTCGCTTCGCTAATCACAAAAATAGCAACGTTATCCCTTGTAAGGAGATAACAAGATGCCTAATATAGGATACATGACATCTAAGAATATATAAATCATCATTGAGCTAACAACAGATTGTAAACCTACCTGATGAGTTCCTTAAGCAGAGACGAAACGTCGTATGATGCTTTGAATTGCAACTCTATTTTTATTATTACTCGAATACACACCCACAAATGTGATTAGAAATCTTTGATGATTTTATTTCAAAATTTTCATATAAGTATATGTTTCCTTATATAGTCGACTAAGACAATATTCAAGTTAATTGCACTTGAAAATTTTACATGTGAAAATATTCAAAAAGTTTTAATTCTTATATCGAAAAATGTAACTCAATGTTATTTAACAGTTCCTAGAGCTACATTATCCTAGTAGATATAAGGTTCAACATTTCACCTCAAGTTCCGCCAAGATAGAAACAAGGTTGTCGTGGAGAGCGATCTATTCTAATACACACCCACACCAACATCCTAATAGTACTCTGTTTGTGATTTCTTTTTTTGAATTTTTGTCAATAATTGAAATCATTTAAACAAGTATTATTATTTATTATGCAGAGTCAAAACCATCTGATGAGACCCTTAAGCAAGGTCGAAATCTGGATCATGATTTGCTTGGCATATCATTTTCAATCAATTTCGACAATATAATCGGTTGCTGAAAAGCAAAAGTTAAGATTAGCAGATTGATTTGTATCTTAGATATACAAGTTGATCTGTTTTATCATTGACTCTCCCTCATCCTCAAAAATAGTTCATACTGCCTAATACAGTAGATAAATGATTCAATAGCAAAGAAGGCAATCTATTTCAACTAGATCAATGAAAAAAAGAAGCATATATGCTATAACCAAACAGAGCAACTAAAGAAAAAAAGAAAACCAAAAGTTCTCCAAAATCAAGATAAGCAACATTTTATATGTTGTTGAAAACTATTGTGCTTATTGTTGTTCTTTTTTTGTTAATGGTGTTGATGGAAAAGGTATAGCAGGAGTAAAAGAACGATTCATTTGTTGGCCTATTGTTCTTGCAATTGAATCACTAATTTCACGAACACCTATTTTATTAGGAATAAAAACAAAATCATAAAGTTTTTATGTCCTCAAAAAGTGAGTACACTCTAGAATCAGTCAGTATGTCCGTCTGTCTGGCCGTTTATACGATAACTTTCGAAAGGAGAATCAGATTGCGATGAAATTTTCTACACACTTTAGTCTCAATAATATCTCGGTTGAGTTTGAAGATGAGAAGGATCGGCCGAGTCGTTCCTGAGTTATTGCAAAAATACCCGTTTTTCCATATGGCTTCCTATGGGAAAATCGATACATCGCAACTTTCATAAAAGAGTTTTCCTATCACAGTCAATTAAAACCCCACCTATTATATACCATATTCAATGCCAGACAAATTTTTATATCCACACATTCTAAGATGACCGATTTGTCTCATTTACTTTTTGAAGTACACATACTCTTGGATATAAATCCGAGATTTCCACATTTTTTATTTATGTTTTTATGTCTATATCTGTTTGTTTACTTACCATGTAAACTAAAATGTGATATTCTTGTAATAACAAGATCTGGACGTCGAACAAATAAATCAAATCGATCATATTTTTGATACATATTTAATTTCATAATATTATCAATTTCTTTATTAATTCGTTCAAATTCACATGTTTCTTCATGTGACATATCCGGTTTAAACGGATATGGAGAAATCCAAAAGAGTTGTTCTCGTTTTTGATGTTGTTGTTGTTTAGAAAAAGTTTTAAGATAACGTGCAACACTATCTAATGAAACGAGATATTTATCAACATACTCTTTGTATGTCAAATTAGATTGAATGATTTTTTCTCTAAAATAAAAAAAAAAGAACAAAGTTTAATTTTATTCAATAAATTTAATTTCAAACGAATGTATATACTTAGTCATATCCTGAGCATATGATCCAAAAATAATAAAATCAATTTTGTTTTCAAGTTTTTCGTCTTGTAAATAGCGTAAATTATCAACTGTTAAATCATAATCCATAATAGTAGGAAGATAAATGAAGATGATATTAATTGAATTATTAATTGATTTAAATTTACGAATATTTTTATAACCAACAGTACCAATTGAACCTTCTGCTTTAATAATTGTTTCACCTACATAGAATCAAACATAATCAAAAGTTTTCAGCAATATTATTTTTATTATTATGATTCTTATTATCATCTAATTATCATTCTCCATCTCACACACGCTCGGTTTCTATCTTTTACCTTCAACAATTTTGTAATGTCCATTACAACAAGATGCTTCTGTATAATCTAATAATCTACCAGTTGTTATAACTTTAATTAAGTCACGGTACAAGATTCTAATTGAATTTTCACCGACAAATAATATTGTCATATTCTTATATATATTTTCATAATCATCATGTGTCAATAATGTTTTAGAAAACATTGATGATTTTTTCGTTTGAATTTGAATATGTGCTTGATCTGGCGACAATTGTCGCTTACGTATACGTTCAAATTTCGGTATTGTAGATGATGATGATGACATAGTGAAGTATTTAAGTATGAAAAACAAAGAAATGCAGAACACGAAAATAAAGATTAACAATCTGAAAAATATATAAGAATTAAAACCAAAAATTCTATGTTTCCAAATCAGAAATAAACAATGAATATCAAAAATTTGTGAAACAGCGTAAATATATGAATATTCGAGCACATCCAATTCAATTGAATTCAATAGAAAACTAAAATTATTCAACAAAAATCGATTCATCTCATTATATGCTCTAGATAAATTGTCTATCATGTTATATTGTAAACAAACATTAAGGGGGCCCTACCCTTAGAAAATTATCTCAGAATCCTCTATTTTATTTTCGTCTTTAATTCTTTGTAATAATTGATATTGGTAGCTAGAAGAAGGTGTAGCCTAGTGGTAGCAGATCTCCTCCTGACATAAAGATGAAAATTAAAGTCATCTTCGTATCAATCAATTGCTCTCTTCTATCTCTTTTTGTGTACTCAAAAAGTGAGTACACTCTAGAATCGGCCAGTGTGTCCATCCGTCCGTCCGTTTACACGATAACTTTTGAAAGGAGAGTCCGATCGGGATAAAATTTCCTACACAGTTGAGTCTTAATAATATATGTCAGTCGAGTTCGAAGATGAGAAGGATGAACCAAGCCGTTCCTGAGTTATTGCAAAAATAGTCATTTTTCGCTATGGCTTCCTATAGGAAAATCGACCTATCCCCAATTTCGTAAAAAAACTTTTCCTATCATAGTCAAATAAAACTCCAACTATTATATACCATTCGATAGAGAATTTCACGAGCTACAAAATGGTATATAAAACATAAAGAAACAAGAAGGTTAGCTCACCTACACTGAAAAAAAAAAGCGCAGAACAATCAACCCTTGCCGTTGATTTTCTCTTTCATAAACTCTTGAAGGGTTTATGAGGACAGCATATACCCTTGAAGGGTACATGACCCGAAGGATTTTTGAGCAGAAGGGGATTTGAAAAGACAAAGGGTATATCGAGCTCTTTTAAGGGTTTTTTATTTCATATTTCAAGTCGAGGGATTTATCATTCAACGACCATGGGTAGATTAATAAACGTATTTTTCACAAACGTTTCTAATTCAGTAATGAAGGGTAGATTATTATTCGGTTCAAAGAAACCGTTTCTTAGTATACGGCTAAGGGTAGATGATTCTACGCTTCAGAAGAAGTGTTGATTATAATACGTTAAAGGGTTGATCACTGCACGATATCGTTATAGGGTATATTATTCGACGACCTATGGTACATCATTCTACCCTTTCGGAAGAAGCATATATTACAATGCGGCAGAGAGTATATTATTATACGATGGCATACAATAGGGTAGATTATTCTACGGATAAGGGTTGACCATACTACTCTTCCACAAAAAGGGTTTATTATAATGCGGTTGAGGGTAGATTACTATTGGATGTTATCCAAAAGGGTAGATTAATATACGCCTGAGGGTAGATTGTTGTAAGGCTTCGGAAGAAGCATTGATTATAGTACGGTAGAAGGTAGATTACTATACGAAGTCACCCCAATGGGTATATTAGTCTACGAATCAGGATTGATTATACTACGCTTGCAGAAAAGGGTTTTTTATAATACGACAGAGGGTAGATTATAACACGGTGACATTGAAAAGGGTATATTAATATGCTGGTAAAGGTAGACTGTTACATGGTTTCAGAAAAAAAGTTTATTTTAATACGGCTGATGGTAGATTACTATACAATAGCATCCAAAAAGGTATATTAATCTAGGAATTAGGATTGATTATACTACTCTTTCCAAAAATGGTTTATTGTAACACGGTAGAGGGTAGATTATTATACGGTGTTATTCAAAAGGGTATATTAATCTACACATAAGGGTAGATTGCTGTATGGTTTCAGAAAGAGGGTTTATTGTAATACGGTTGAGAGTAGACTATTATAGGATATTATCCCAAAGGGTATATGATTCTACGGACAAGGGTTGATCATACTCCGTTTTCAAGGAAAGGGTTTATTATCATGCATCTTGGGTAGATTATTGTACGACATCAACAATAGCAAATGTAATTCTCCGATCATGGGCAGTCTAAAATACACTATAGAAATCAATTGTATAGTGAGGGACTATTTATTGGAGAAGAATCCACTGCGTTTTGAAAGATTTATATGAATTGTCTACGTTGTCATAAGATTTACCAGCCAAAAAGATTCATTGCTGCAGTAGTGTATCAGAGCGAGAAAGCTATGTGATCATTCTTCATGGGTACTGTATTTTATCTTGTTGTTAAAAGTGTTTATGAGTACATCCTTCAAGGAAGTCCAGTCGACAATCTTAATAACAGAATTTTTACTCCAAAATCCTAGAAAAGAGTGAAACTGGGTGTGACTTAGAGAGGATATTATTCAGTATCAACCAGTAGAATCGTCTACCCAAGGAGTATTTATACGTAATAAATCATGAAAAGGAATATAATAGAAGATGCTATTATAAAGCGCATCTTACTGCACTTGATCCAGAAAGATCTCCTGTTTATAAATACATAGACATAATACTAGTTTTAGTTGTAAAGGATTCATGATATCACGTTCAAAACTTGATTGTCTGTATTTGTTAGTGGAACATTTTTCAGTTCTAGAGCTTACAACAATGAAAACTAGACCCAACCAATTGTTTCATTATCTGTATCTTCAAGATATCTGAATTTATTGTCCTCGCTTCTCCAAAACCAATATCTGATCATGCTTCTAAACAATTTTTAAATACTGCTGCGTGTGGATGTCATCAACCATTAATTCTTCAATAAATAAAGTATTATTTTTACATAGCTATGCAATTCCTCCTTCGTCGAATGCTTTACTGAAAGATACAAAACATGAAGCTTTAAATAAATTTGGTCCACATCTTTTCAACCGTCAAAATCTTATTGAATCTATTGTTCATGATTCGACATAAATATATAACATGTTATCAATTAAAATTTAAGACAAACTTATTTAAAGACATCAATGTTTTATTTTTTTCAAAATCTATTAAATTAATTGATCTTATATTACGAAAGAGCGTCTGAAGCAATTTTTTCTGATGATGATAACCATACAATTGTACTGCTAAATAATTAGACTACAATAAGTAAAGCTTATTTTATTTCAATGATTTAGATCATTTATCAAATTTACAACATAGTGGACCTTGTTGTTCTGGTTAATTTTTCGAGTCTGATTAAAAACAAAACAGTTAGTATGAAAATTATCTTATTTTTAAGCCAATCATCCCAGGAATAACTTAAGAGTTTTCTATTTTATCCACAACTATAAATGCCCATATTGACCGTTTCATTGACTGAAAATTGATGGACTTGATTAGTCCTCATAATAGTCATCCGAATTTCATAGTAAATGTAAACACAATCGAAGTAACAAGTATATGGATATCAATTTTCTTCTCGTACTGGAAATACGAAAAGATACTTTTCAAATAACACTAAAAAGAAAGAGATTCGAAAACCGAGATCATATGAAAGTTCAACACTATCAATCAAAATATACACATATGGGCTTCAGCCATCCAGTCAAAAAAAAACAATAGATTAGTGAGTTTGCTCATAGAGGCAGACAAAAACAGATATTTACTACATATTATCATTTTGGTTCTATTTTAGTCTTTCTTCAGAGAATTTTGTTAACTTATGACGATGTTACATTACAAAGTATTCAAACAAAAGCTGCAAAATTACATGCTGTGTGTGATATTGACGTACTTTTCAACTTCATATATATCAGCAGATTTTACATTTTCGTCGTCAATATCTTCGTGAAAAGTCTACATCAGATATTCTTAAAGAATTTCCAGCTTATTCACATAAACTCTTCGTAAGTTTAATTTTCTCAAATCATTTTATTCTAATGAAATGTTAATTTTTATTACAGGTATTTGAAGAGATCCAAATAATAATGGATGCTTTTTTAAGTCCTACTTTTACAGGAAAAATGCTGATTTTACTTGAAAAAATTATTAAAGTATCTGCTTTTGTTACAAGTAACTATAAGAATTCATATATATTCTAAAACACCGTGCTTTATTTTAGATTCAACTAGTATTCAACTAATCAAAATTCTATATAAATATGTCGATGAAACAATACATCATATATTTGTTGATTCTATAATTTATTGTTTAACAGTTTCAATAGAAAAATCTTTCATTGGTACTAAAGACGACTCCACGAAATTTTAACAAATAAATCTATTGAACTGTCTCATAAATATAGAATAGTGTATGTGTACGTAAGAGATTCTGAATTAAAGCTGCTTAGTAATATCCTTCTCGTTGAAAATAAAATAAATATTTTCCTAATCTTTTGCCTTCAACTTTTAATTGCAACGATCTAAGTAAAAGCTCTGTAAGTATTAATTGTTTTTTCCAACTGAATTCAACAGAATACTCTATGGCCAATTTTTATTCGTTGAAAACAAGTGAGCGAATAGTACAATCTTATAGTTTTATTTTTCCCTCGTCCATAACTTTGTCGGTCATTACCACGTCGAATGAAGTCAAAGTAATACTTGAGAAGAATTTCTCTATTATAAAAGATAGTAAAGAAATTTCAAGTTCAATTTCGACTAATGAAGTCTTAGAAAACTTTGCCATTTTTACGTGATATTATTTCAACAAATCACGCAAATTTTTGCCATTTTAATGCAGTACCACACCCTCATTCTCCATGTTAGTGATTTATATCTTATGAATGTAGTTCATACTCGAAACTAAATTTACTGCCACATAGAAAGCCTTGAGCAGTCGGCATTAAAGATGGGTAAATGATATCTACACATAATTAATGTTATTGCTCTTTTCCTGAAATTTAGGAATCTATTGGAATTATTTTTTCTTAGGACCCTCAATAGCATATAATCTGATTTTGATTTTTGTTAATGATCAAATTCATGTCTATGTTGATTTTATATCAGTTGTTTCAACAGCGTCATCAGGCGACGGTCTT